GTTCCTATAAGACATTGGGTCCGGAGAACCAGTATTCCAGCTGTTGAAACATCTCCAGAAAATTTCTTGCTCAGTATGGAGATTGTTTGTTCTCAGGATGTTCCAGGATCCGGCAGTGCGTGTGTGCAGTGGGAGCCGGTAGGGACCGAGGATGAGTCAAAGGCAGTTCAAGCCATGACTGATGGGTTGAAACTCAGGAGAGTTTCAACAGAGTCTTCTCGATGATCAAGAAGGCTGGTGGCAACTAGAGGTGGTGGAATTTTGAGTTCCGTTATCAGATTACAGAAGTACATGTGCACAGTTGAAGCGCAGGTGAACATTGTTCCGTGGCTTCAAGTGGGAGATTGTTGAGTGTGAAGCCAGGAAGCTAGGTGGAAGCTAACAGGAAATTGGCAGGAAGCTACCGAGAAGCTTACGGCTTAATCATTGTCTCCCTAACTAATCTCTATTTAAGAGATGCTAATGTGCTTGTAATTGTGTGCAACAAAAATAATAAAATCCTCCTAGTTGCCCCGTGTGGACGTAGGTTGCAGTTGGCGGCCGAACCACGTTAAATCCTGTGTCGTTTATTTTTCTGCAGTTGATTTGTGATTGTGTGTTGTTTCCGCGTGCGTTTATCCCAACACCGTGAAACATGGGACATTTGCTTTTTAGGATGGATTTAAGGGAGTGTATTTTGGTATTGAATTTCCAAAAATGTCCTTTGATGTGATGGGTAAAAGTATGATTTGATGGATAGATTATTAGTAAAAAGGTATGATGTGATAGTTATGGTATGAAAAAGTAAGGGGTAAAAGTGACTTTTTAATCGAAATGAGAAGTATTTTGTGGGACGGATAAAAAAAGAAAGGGGAAAGGTTTCACGGGACGGAGGGAGTAGATGTTTTTGACCAAGAGAGGTAAAGGCAATTGCACTAGAGGAAACTTTAAATCCCTCTATTTACAAGAACGGTATGAAAAATTTGCCACCCAAATGAACACTAGCCCCATAGGTTAGCAACCGTGCCAGTTACTATATCAACTCAGAGATTCTTTCGACCTAAATATTGGGTCGTGTATAACTTCCTCATCCAAAAAAATCCTTTGTATTATCTGTTAGAAAATTTTTAATGAAAATCACTTGATCGATATAAATATGCAGCGGAAATTGAATCGAAATACCTCCAGCCATTGTTGTCCTTTTATTATTATTTAACCGCCGAACGGAGATCTCGTGGCGAAGATGAATCGTACTTCTTATGAACGATCACCGGATCTTCCACACACTTGGACACCACATAGAGATGGATTATGTTTTTTTCTTTTGTGTGTTGTGCATGGGGACCCGAATGAATATGGATGAAGCCTTTTTATACTTACATCCATGAAACAAAGTGATGGTTACCAAAAGACACTTGCTTCCATCAAACAAGGCGGTGGTTACCAAAGTCCATGATGGGTTAAACATTTAAATTTAATTAATTGCTATAAATTATATGGACCAAAAAACGGCCAACATTCTCCCACTTGGTCCATATAATAAAAATAATATCATATAACGCATAATACATGAATCATGGCGGCATTTACTCTTTTAAAGAGTAGTACCTTCCAAGCATTACAATATACTATGATTTCCTAATTTAAGGGGCTGTTTGTTTCAGCCTCTTAATGGTTCAGATGTCTGAATGGTTCAGCACTTAATGGTTCAGACTGTTTGTTTCAGCCTCTTAATGGTTCAGATGTCTGAATGGTTAAGAGATTTGCCTCTGAATGGTTAAGTATTATACAGAGTCTGAATGGTTAAGACCTCTTATCTGAATTGATCAGAGATTTGCCTCTGAATAGTTAAGCAATATACTAGCTCTTAATGGTTCAGACCTCTTACTGGTTCAGCACTTAATGATTCAGACCTCTTACTGGTTCAGCACTTACTCATTCAGAAGTTGCCAAACAGCCCCTAACCCAAACATATACTGTATAAATAAACCCAATGTTTATTTTAGGTCCAAATCATAATGATGTTTCTCAAACCAAACGTAAAATGTGTACACAATCAAAATGAAAAACATCCATAAAGTAGAGTTTCTAAAGTATTTTATTCTTGAATAGAACGTTCCATAGGGAAAACAAGTCCCATTTTCTCCACGTGACCCTTGAACTTATTTGGTGGCATGCCTTTAGTCATAGGATCAGCTAACATCAAATCGGTGCTAATGTGCTCAATGACCACATTCTTCATTTGAACATGTTGCTTTATTGACAAGTATTTAGTGTCAATATGCTTGCTCCGATTTCCGACTTTATTGTTCTTGGCTAGGAAGACAGCTGCTGAATTATCACAATATATAGTTATTGGTCTAGAGATTGAATCCACAATTCTCAACTCTTTTATGAAACTCTTCAACCATAATCCATGTGCAGTAGCCTCAAAACACGAAACAAATTCAGCCTCCATAGTTGAAGTAGCAACCAAGGTTTGTTTCGCACTTCTCCATGAAATAGCTCCACCGGCAAGCATAAAAATGTATCCCGAAGTTGACTTACGAGAATCCACACAACCGGCAAAGTCTGAATCTGAATACCCTTTCACTTCTAAATTCTCTGATTGCTTATAAGTAAGCATATAATTCTTAGTTCCCTTAAGATATCTTAAGACTTTCTTTGCAGCCCTCCAATGTTCAAGGCCTGGGTTACTTTGATATCTTCCCAACATTCCAACAGCAAATGCTATATCGGGTCTTGTACAAATCTGAGCATACATTAAGCTCCCCACAACAGAAGCATATGGGATGTTTTTCATTTGCTCCCTTTGCAAACTGTTTTTAGGGCACTGGTCCAAATTCAATTTATCACCTTTCACAATTGGTGCTATACTTGGTGAACAATCTTTCATCCGAAATCTCTCCAAAATCTTGTTGATGTAAGTTTCTTGAGATAAACTTAAAGATCCCTGCGACCTATCCCGGTGAATCTTGATGCCTATAACAAAAGAGGCATCACCCATGTCTTTCATATCAAAATTTTTAAAGAGAAATTGTTTGACCTCGTATAAAATCCCCTTATCATTAGATGCAAGTAAAATATCATCCACATAAAGGATTAAAAAACATATCTTACTCCCACAAACCTTTTGGTATATGCATTCATCCTTTATGTTCTCAACAAAACCGAATGATGAGATAACATTGTCGAACTTTATATACCATTGACGGGAGGCTTGTTTCAATCCATAAATGGACTTCTTTAATTTGCATACTAAGTTCTCACCCTTACTAGAGGAGAATCCTTCTGGTTGTTTCATGTATACCTCATCCTCTAAATCACCATTAAGAAAAACTGTTTTTACATCCATTTGATGTAACTCCATATCAAAATGAGCTACCAAAGCCAATATTATTCGTAAGGAATCCTTTCTTGACACGGGACTATATGTTTCTGAGTAGTCAACTCCTTCTATTTGAGTGAACCCTTTGGCAACGAGTCTAGCCTTGTATCTCTCAATGTTGCCCATGCAGTCCTTTTTGATTTTAAATACCCATTTACAACCAATAGGTCTCACACCATCAGGCAACTCGACAAGATCCCAGACTTCATTATTCTTCATAGAGTTCATCTCATCTTTCATGGCGTCATGCCATAATTTAGACTCTTTAGAATTCATAGCTTCCGAGTAGGATTCAGGATCATGTTCCAATTCGCTTATGGAGTCAGATTCTTGTAGATACACAATATAATCATGAGGAATTGTTGATCTTCTTTCTCTAGTGGATCTCCTCAGTAATTGACCATCATTATCCTGAGATTCGGGTTGTTCATTGTTCATCAAAACTTCCTCTTGAACAACTTCATTTATTGGATTATTTTGCATATGTGGAGTATTGTAAGTTAATTGTTCAACACTCCTTTGAACTTGAGGAGCATTGTGAATAACAATTAATCTGTCACTTGAAGTAGAAGGTTGATCCCTTATGGTGACTTCGTCCCGAAAATGATCACTCCCACTAATTAAGTCATTTTCAAGGAATTTGGCATTCCTTGATTCCACAATCCTAGTAGTGTGTGATGGACAATAAAATCTATAACCCTTGGACTTCTCTGCATATCCAATGAAATACCCACTAATGGTCCTTGGGTCAAGCTTCTTTTCTTGTGGATTGTATACTCTTACTTCACACGAACATCCCCATACACGTATATGGTGCAAACTTGGTTTCCAACCCTTGAATAACTCAAAAGGAGTTTTTGGGACAGCCTTGGTTGGAACTCTATTTAGTACATACGCAGCCGTTTTAAGAGCATCAATCCATAAGAACTTAGGTAGCTTAGAGCCACTAAGCATACTGCGCACCATGTCTAACAAGGTTCGGTTTCTCCTTTCTGCTACCCCATTCTGTTGTGGAGTACCAGGTGTCGTGTATTGGGCAACTATCCCATTATCTTGAAGAAACCTTGCAAATGGACCAGGTGCTTGTCCGTCTTCAGTGTATCTACCATAAAATTCACCACCTCTATCGGATCTCACAATCTTGATGTTTTTACTACATTGTTTCTCCACTTCGGCTTTGAAAACCTTGAAAGCTTCCAATGCTTCGCTTTTATGATGAAGCACGTAGAGATACATATATCGTGAGTAATCATCTATGAAGGTGATGAAATATTTCTGACCCTATTCATCCATATCCGGGCAGCATATATCAGTATGAATGATTTCTAATATGGTCGAACTTCTTTTGGCACCTTTCTTAGACATGTTAGTTTGTTTGCCTTTAATACAATCTATACATGTTCCAAAATCAGAAAAATCTAGGGTGCCAAGTACCCCATCACTTATTAATTTTTTAATCCTGTTAATGGAGATATGACATAGCCTTCGATGCCAAAGATTAGAGGAATTTTCATCTCTAACACATCTTTTATGACCAGCTTCGCTACTATGAAAAGCACTATAAGTGGCGTCACTTTGTAAATCAAGAGAATAAAGACCATCACATAAAGTGCCATTTCCAACAAGTTTATTTTTATAGAATAATCTAAGACAAGAATTTGTAAAATTAAAAGAGTAACCAAATGGTACAAGTGTAACACCCTAATCCGTCCAGGTCTGCAGCCCCTTTCGGACTAAAGTATTTAACTTGAAAATCGTAAAATTTAAAACTTTTCAAACACACTTTATTAATCTCAATAATATTTTTCATAACATATACAGTACGGAGTATTTAACAATATTGCGGAAGCGAATTTAATATTGACATATCATGAATTATTTCAAAACTTGTCACATCCATCCCGACAATCTCGCCCCATCTGCCGCCAGGATCACATTAATCTTTCTGTTTACCTGCGTGTAGCAAATAAAACATACTACACGCTCAGCGGTGAAGCTGAGTAAGCATATCTAAAACGTCGAACATCTAAATAAATTGAATCTCAATTCATAATCAACCATTTGGTATCATGCACACAATATATGATTCAAACATTCATGATATTCTCAATATTTTATTCCAAGTCATTTGATATTCAATATCTCAACCATGCTCTTAAATTATTCTTAATCTAAGGCCAAATCATTTTATAACAAGCTCTTAGCTATTCCTAGTCTAAGGCAACATTTCTAACCAGGCCCTTAAACTATAAATAGTTTAATGCAGAACACAAGAATCGATAATCCACCCTATGAGTCATGTGGATTACGTACCAACCGAACAGTGAACTG